TCAGCTCCCCACGCTAATTCCAATTTCTCAGTTTCTACCATGAGTTTCTATCGCCAAACGGTGTCCTTATCCTCAACCCTAAATGTGTGGTCCATGACCATTTCGCACAGGATGCTTTGCTTGTGACTCCACCTTCCTTCAAACGCAAAACACCATCCATACACACAAAGAAAAGTTTTGAGTTATTGTCACAAACTTAATGTTGTTCCTTATTCACGCGTTATATCAACCACTTAAAAATGCTTACCATTTACAACAGCAATTGAAAGTGCTTTATTCAATGATTTCTTTCTTAAGGAAACACTTAGAGTCTGTTTGATACTCTACTTGAATCTAATTTTTTAAACTCAAAAATAATTTTCAAGTTTTAGGCCTTCAAAACTTGTTTGGTAGGACTATTTTCAAAAACTGAACTTAAGACTAATTAAAAAATATAGTCTATTATCTAAAAACATAAAAAGTGAGTTTTTAGAGTTTTTAAACTTAAACTCACTCATTTCTTTTTTTTCTATTCTCTACTCTCACTCCAAATCTATCTCTTTTCTTCTTTCGCTCCTATCTTTTTTTTTACCTTTTTCGTCTCTCCTCCAATCTGCTCTCTTCATTCTCTCGGTTATTTCTTTCACTCATCTTCCTCTCAATCTCGTCCGATCCTCTCTCTTATTTATCTTTCCTTCAATCATTTCTTACTTTCTTTCCTCCTCTCTCTTTTTTCTCTCTCTCATGTGACCCCATCTTTTTAGATTTTTTTGTCTAATTTAAATTGCAAACCAATCAAGTTTTTGAATCTTAAAGAAAATTGTTTAAGGAAATCTTCTTAAGAAATGTTTTGAAAAATGATAAAAAATTTTAAATAGAATACCAAACAAACATGTTTAGTTTTCATCAAATTTTTACGTGCTTATAACAAACAGGCTAATAATAAAATTCTTAAAAGCATGAAAAGTCATGGCCGACTTATAGAGTGTGGGAGATGTGGGACCGCATATGGCTCAATGAACCTAAGGGCCCCTGATTACAGAAAATTACAGGGGGAGTGGGAGGCTATGCTGGTGCGAGGAAGAAGAAAATGCGTACCTTTGGCCACTTTGTGTTTATTTTTATGCAATTATTTATTTTTTTACAGAAAATTATATGAAGTAAAAATAATAATATGAGGTAAAAAAAATTATATGAAAAAAAAAAAAAGGTTCCCTGCACACACTACAGACGGTCATATGCAGATGACATATGACAGAGACCCTTGAAAATAAATAAATCCCACCGCCCCTCTTCCATCTTCATCTTCCATCTTCTCTCTCCTCCAGTCTCTCCCAGACTCCCTCCCTCCCAATTCCACTCTCCCACACCATGAATTCATTTACCACTCCACACTTGTCCTAATTCAAAACCCCAAATTAAAAATCCCAACAAAGTTCAAATCACTCTGAAAATTTCTGAAATTTGCTATAAAGCTCCGAGCTTTGAGAATGGTTTCTCTACAAGATTCCCATTCCGGCTCCAGCCACCACTTCCCGCCTCACACCCGCAACTTCTACTCTCCCTCCTCCACCAAAATCCACCGTCAAACCGGCCGCTCCATGCGCACCATCCGCTCCAACATCTACCAAGACGATCACTCCCGCACCTCCTTCGCCGCCGAAAGATCGACTTTTGTCTCCGAGAACCTGACCGATTCGGTCGTCGACATGCGCCTCGGCGAGCTCGCCCTCCGCACCCACAGCTCCGCCAGCAAGTCCGCGTCTTCCGACGAGGAGTACCTCCAGCTCTCCCAAGCCTTCAGTGATTTCTCCGCCTGCAGCAGCGACATATCGGGAGAATTGCAACGCCTCGCAAGCTTGCCGTCGCCGGAAAACGCGCCGACCTCCGAATTATCCGAGGCTGCGCCGGAACCGGAGCCATGCCAGGGGTTTTTGCAGAGGGAGAAATTCTCGACCGAGATCATCGAGAGCATTTCGCCGGAGGATCTTCAGCCGACGGTCAAGATCTGTGTCGACGGCCTCCAATCGACGTCGCTTGCCGTGAAGCAATCTGCAGCGGCCAAGCTCAGGCTTTTAGCGAAGAATCGGGCTGATAATCGCGCCTTGATCGGGGAGTCCGGCGCCGTTCCCGCTCTAATTCCTCTACTGCGGTGCAGCGATCCATGGACGCAAGAGCACGCCGTCACGGCGCTGTTAAACCTCTCGCTGCACGAATCAAACAAGGCCATAATCACCAATGCCGGAGCTATAAAGTCGTTAGTGTACGTCCTCAAGTCGGGGACGGAAACCTCGAAGCAAAACGCAGCCTGTGCGCTGCTGAGCTTGGCGCTAATAGAAGAGAACAAGAGCTCAATCGGAGCCTGCGGTGCAATTCCCCCGCTGGTTTCGCTGCTAATAAGTGGATCCACGAGGGGCAAAAAGGACGCTTTGACGACTCTGTACAAGCTCTGCTCGATAAAGCCCAACAAAGAGAGGGCGGTGAGCGCGGGAGCTGTGAAGCCGCTGGTGGCACTGGTGGCGGAGCAGGGGACGGGCTTGGCGGAGAAGGCGATGGTGGTGCTGAGTAGCTTGGCGGGAGTCGAGGAAGGGAAGGAGGCTATTGTGGAGGAAGGCGGGCTGGCGGCGCTTGTGGAGGCGATTGAAGATGGGTCGGGGAAAGGAAAGGAGTTTGCGGTGTTGACACTGTTGCAGCTGTGCAGTGAGACTCTGAGGAACAGAGGATTGCTTGTGAGGGAAGGAGGGATTCCGCCATTGGTTGCGCTTTCGCAGACTGGGACTGTTAAAGCTAAGCACAAGGTATCTTGATCATTTCATTAGTTGGGTATTTGGTACTACAATCTTTCTAAGTGTTAAATTGTGTAGACGAAATGGTGCTAATATTGTTTAAATTGTAGACCGAAAACCCATCCCGCAGTTTAGATTAGATTAGAATATCGCACGGATAAAAAAAAAGATTGTTCATTTTAAATTGGTAGCTAAAGCTGTTAGTTGAAGGAAGTAAACAATGAAATGCGAATTGTCATGCATTTTGTAATTCCAAGTCTGCATGTGGATGTTGTATTTATGATCATGGTCTTAATGGAGCTCGCTTGGTTGGTTTATAATGGGGGTTTGGTTGTTTTTGCAGGCTGAAACGCTTCTTGGGTACTTGAGAGAACCGAGACAAGAAGCGTCCTCTTCGGCTCTTTAGAGAAGCGAAGGGAGGTACTTTCACAACTTAGAGAGGGAACTATACTATGTGTCTGTGTATGTAGTTTGAGTAGTGTTTGATTGCACTTGTATATAGGAAGTGTTGGAGTTTCATGGTTTGTAACTTTGTACAGTTTGGTTGAGAAGCTAGGAAGAAGAATATGATATGATTGTAAGAAGGGAGAGAGATTATAGGAAGCTAGTGAGCAAGAGACCACTGGCTTCTTAGCAGTTTAGATGTATGAATTCAACTAGGTTTTTTGGTTGGGTATTTTCTTTCTTTCTTGCCCTCTTTTTCTATCATTGACTTGGTTTTTTGTAGGGGTGGAAAACTATTACTTGTTTGCCTTGTGGTTGTTTTGGGTCAATTGGATCCTTGTGTTTTGTATGCGTAAACCCGAATTTTGCTGTAAGGGTTTTACCGATTATCTGGTTTTAGTTATCTGCTTGCAAAAGTATCGTCTCTGTTCCTTCGTTATTGATTGTGTTCTAATTTCGTGTCTGATGGAAAATTGGAAATTCATATGTTGTTGGAGATACTGTGGGAGGGAGGCTGAACAAAATGTTCTCTCCTCCTTCAAAGCTCTGTGTTTAGTTTCTGTTGGTTGTACCCAAATTGGGATCTTGAACTCCGACGCCAAGGTGGTGACAGTTTTTCAAACCAATCATGAGGTGCCATATGGGCTTAAAGAACGTAGTGACTTGAGATAGGTTAGGCGTTTCTATTTCATACAACTCTCCCTCCAACTTGTGGTGTGTTCGTTGTCCGGTTATTCCTTGCTTAGTAGAGAATGCAAACTTTAAAGCTTTATTCTCCACATCTTTTGTCAATTTTCTCGGCTACCAAACAGCAAGTGATACTACACCGTTTGGGAGCATTATAAAGTAGAGCAGGTGAGCTGCCGTGGGCTACCCCATCACCTCTCTCTCCCTCCCACCCCCGCACCACCTGTCCAACTACACGCAATTCATCCAAGGCAAAGCCAGAGGCCACCGGACATGGATCCTCTCCGGATCCAATTGTCCTAATTTTAGGATCAATGAATATGGATCATTAAAATTTAATTAAACAGTTATAAACAGTAACTCACTATAAAAATTATAATAATTTTAATTGATGAATCAAATTTCAATGGTCCGGATTCATTGATCTCTAGGATTAAGATAATAGGATCCGAAGAGGATCCATGTCCTAGGCCACCAACCAAAAAGATTTTTCAAAAAATTGTCCCGCTGCTGCTGGTGCAGTGCACTGCACAGTGTGTACATATATTATCTTTAATTCTTTATTCAAATTGATGATATTATGTGGTTTGTCGGTACGTAGTAAAAGAAATGATGCATTAGCTGGCGGAGGAGGAGGAGCAGGTATTGTTTTGTCCCCCTGTTCGTTTGGATTGGATGGTTGCAATTTGCATTTCTTACTCAATTTCTTACTCAATTTCTTACTCAATTTCTTACTCAATTGCAATGTCTGTCGGTGCGCCCTTTTCTGACAACTTTTTTTTGAGCCTCACAAGTGCACACGCGTCCAAAATGTGTATGTTATTATTTTGCATGGCTCACCAATTGCAATATCGAATCGTACATTGTTATGTATTCTAATTTTCTCGTACAACTATGCTTGATTTGTCTGGAATATTGCCGCCTTATGGGGTAAGATGAAAGGAGGGGGTGGGAATGCTTCTATAGAAAGCCCTTTGTGCTCATAACATTACTCGTTTTAAAAAGCAGTTTCAAATGCTTGGTTAATTCAGAAATACGCAACTTTTTAAGTCAAAACATTGTTAAAACTTTAAGTTATTCTTGAAACACTTTAAACATGCTCAATAAATAGAACCTAATAGAAAACTGATATATAATAGACCATATTATGATGACATGACATATACATATTAATTGTTTCATGATATTAAAGCACGAGCTGTGATAGTATGGTCATCAAAATATGGTAATTCCTCACAAAACATTGGTCCCTATTCGACTGTACTATTCCTCAACTTTGGCCTTACCTTTGGTGTCCTTGGGAGCAAATAGCTTAGGTCTGAAGCCTTTCTGCAGCAACTTCTCAACCTCTTCAAATTGCATTCCTTTGGTTTCAGGAACTAGCAAGTAAATGAATATGAGTCCAATAAGAGAAAACCCAGCAAAGAGGAGAAACGTTCCCGCCGAACCCAGCGCTTTCGTCAGAGTCAAGTATGTCTCGCTCACTATGAGATTGGCCGTCCAGTTTGAAACTGCAGCGATTCCTCCACCCGTCCCTCTGTATCTCAGCGGGTATATTTCCGAGTTCACGATCCATGGCACTGTTCCCATTCCGGGTGCATACATTATAATGTACAATCCCAATAGTATCACTGCAAATATTCCGATTTTACTAGGGCAGCCTTTACTGTACCATGTCCTGTGTTCTCCACGACATAAGTCCCTGATATTATCACTGGCGGCCAAGCAAGCTCCCGGAGCGAGCTGACAACAATCAAGGGGAAAAACAGATTACTTAAGGTTACATGTTTAATTTCTAATGATTAAAGACTCATTAGTGAGTTATTTTGTACACTTACATCCTTGATTTCACTAGCACAGAAGCCACATTCTTGTTTCAAACACGTCATGCAGTTCCATGCTGTAGGATTGACAGCCGATACATAAGTCGGACATGTTGAAGAGTTGCCGAATTTAGCAGATTCCAAATTACTAATCTTCGGAGAATGTTCCGCGGCATAGAAAAAAACCCCGGCTAACACCACAAGGCAAGCGATAATACCAAACATAGAAATGATCATCAGCCTTCTCCTTCCGTATCTATCTACAAAGCACATGCTGATTAGGGTTCCAACAACGTTGAGACCGGATGTGATGAGTGAGAGTGCCATAGCGGTCTGGTTGGATGCAAAACCAGCGAATTGAACAATGGTCGGGCTGTAATACATCACGGTATTAATACCGACAAATTGCTGAGCTACTTGGACAGTGATGCCTGCGTAGAGTCCTCTTCGAACCACGGTGTTGCTCAAGGCACCCTTTAGTTTTTGGATCATGCCATTCCCAGCTGCTGAGTCCTCGGCCTTTTCAAATTCGACAGATTCATGCAAGGCCTTCAATTCATCTTCCACCTCTTCTTCAGGATAGATTTTCTGCAAAATTGCCCTAGCTTCATCCACCTTGTTCTGTTTAATATAAACAACATCAATACCAAGTTATATGTGACATGTTCCCTCATAAAATCTTATGTTAGACTGTGAATTTGAATGGTTGATTGGTCGTGTCTATGACATGCGCCCTCAAATACACAGTCTGACAACATAAGCATTTACGTCACGTATAGAAATTACGTGACAGATATCTAGCTACTATGATAATCTCACCGCTCTGTAGAGCCATCTTGGAGACTCTGGAAGCGACAACATCAATATGAACTGAACAAGGGCTGGAAGTCCCGCGACTCCAAGCATCCAACGCCAGGTTCCCGGAGCTTTGGTGAAGGCGAGATTGATGAGGTATGACAAGAATTGTCCTCCTGTAATTAACATACCGTTGCAGCTAACCAGAGCTCCTCTGATTCTATGAGGAGAAGCTTCTGAGATGTAGAGGGGTGCGGTCATAGAAGCCATTCCAACTCCCAAACCAACTACAATTCTCCCAATTATGATCACCCATGGAGCTGGAGCCGCGCCCATAACTATTGCACCAACGAAGAACACCACGTCCGCGATTAGAATTGATTTTTTCCGGCCAAGTGCGTCATTCATCCATCCACCAACAGCAGCCCCAATGATGGCGCCAGCAACTGCCATGCTCACTATGGTCTCCTGCAGCCATGTTTTTTTGTCAACTTCACGAAAGTCCTCCCGAATGTATAGCAATGCCCCGGAGATCACACCTGCAGCACCACACCACCAACAACAACACATACAACTAATTAGCACAAAGAAAAATTGTCATATGAAGTAATTAATTGTTCGTGTTAAGATATTGTTTGGAACTCAATTTGCAGATGTTTTTTTTAGAACAATGTGCAGCTATTAGTTACCTGTATCATATCCAAAAAGGAGGCCTCCGATGCCAGCTGAGAGCGCAAGGCGCATAATGTACGGTGTCCTCCATGTTGTCCTCCAACACTCCGTGAACTCAGTTTTGCTAGAAGGTGGGGCTCCCCCCTCCACCATTTTTTTCTTCTTCGTCTTCGTTCAAGCAGCTCTACTTTCGCTGAGAACGAAATCAATGTATGAATGCACTCATTTACTTGCCAACGCACTCTTAGTTACATAACGGTTCTAAATGAATGCCCTCAGACATGCATGTTCTTATTTGTCTTCAGTTTTTTACCTCACAAAAATAACTATTCAATCTCCGCAACCCTAATTTCTATTTGCTTCGAAAATGAAAGTAATACATAACATTAGCTTTCGAATGTTCCACCATATAACAAAGTATATATATGCATGAATATATAAACCAGAAATTTTCTATGCAATACGTTCATTAAGAACACGCGTAAATCCATATTGTAACAACAAAACGTGCCTTCCTAGCTAAGTGGCTAAGTTTTTGGTGTCATTATGCGCTATCCTACGGTCTCCAACAGCTTTGTGTAGAAGTAACACATAGTAAGTTGTTTCTTCGACAATTACTGAAGTTCAATTTTGCCAACGATATTGCTGATGTTGAAAGGTTTATAACAACGTCAGTAACGGTTGGACACGGAAGAAAAGGGGTTTGAAGGATGTTGCTAATCTTTATATACTCTTGACCTAGTTTTCTAAAAATGTGGAATTCTCTAGGCTCTACACTTTTGTCTCCATCGCCTCGCTCTTTGTTTTCTTACACGTCCTAAAACGTAGCTGATTTCTGACCACTGACCACTATATATAATGCTTTGACCGGTTTATACGTTTTTTATTCTCTATATGCATGCCAGATGTTATATAAGATAGCCATGTAGTTTTGATAAATATACAGACGCATGCATGCGCAGCAAACCCTAAATCATACAGACAGATATAAATTAGTTCTTTATAAACTCACCACTCCCTATCGTCAAATTTTAAGGATGAATTGCATTCCACCAGACTATAACATGTACTTTTGTTTATGCAGTAAGCATGCTCGTTTTGTAAATGTTTAAGCTCATCACAATTAGAAATACCGATTTCTCATTCTGGTTAAATAGGTAGACGCTAAAGAACGAAACTTCGGAATTTGCAAAAATAAGCCCAAAGAATAGCAGGCTAAAATTAAAAAACAGAAAACAAATGTCAAGAATGGGATTCGAACCCATGCCCTTTCGGACCAGTACCTGAAACTGGCGCCTTAGACCAACTCGGCCATCTTGACTTTATGTGATTCCTAAACCAATGCAATTTTCAAGGCTTAAATCTCAAATCAATACGTTATAGTATACTTTCTGGCAAGTAAATTTTTTCCTTTTCATTTTCATGAGAAAATAGATGTGCGCGGAAGTTAGTTTCCGATTGTTTCATGTTTTAGTAAAAATTATAGACATATGACATACATTATTCAATTTAACGGATAGAAAAATTGGTTAGAATTAAGCTTAAATAAAAAGATTGATTAAAAACATAACTTTGCGTTTTATTGGTAAAAAAAAAAACAGGAAATATAAATAAGCTCCCCTTTAACATGGTGGGATAATTATAAAAAAAAAAAAAAAGAGCAACAATTGTGCAATCATGAATTATATGGATTACTTGGAGCTGATCAGTTAAAAAATAAATAAATAAAATAACAATTATTTACCAAAGACTTTGTATAGACTGACTTTATTAAGAAAGAGAACTAAAAATGTCTCTTCAGAACACCCACGAGTTTCAAAATTTATACAAGGAACTCAGGAAAGTTCAACATTTTTGCCGACTTGCTTGCTCTTTGAAGCAAATGGCTTGGGCCTAAACCCTTTCTGAAGCAACTTCTCAACCTCCTCAAACTGCATTCCTTTCGTTTCAGGAACTAGCATGTATATCGCTATGAGTCCAATGACAGAAAACCCGGCAAAGAGGAGGAACGTGCCGGCGGAACCTAGAGCATTTGTCAAGGTCAAAAATGTCTCACTCACAATGAGATTGGCACTCCAATTTGCAACTGCAGCCATTCCTCCACATGTTCCTCTATACCTGAGAGGGTATATCTCCGAGTTCACGATCCACGGCACAGTTCCCATTCCAGGTGCATAGATAATGATGTACAATCCCAACAGGATCACTGCGAAGAATCCGACTTTGCTTGGACAACCTTTGGTGTACCACACACGATGTTCTCCCCGACATGAGCTCCTGATATTGTCATTGTAAGCCAAACAAGCGCCCGGGGCAAACTGGCAGTTGCAACAATAGAAAAACAAGTAAATTTATAACGTCACTCTTACAATTATATGTCAAGCAAATCGGGAAGAGACGGGGAAGTGATTTCTGCACATCTCTTGTCTTCCCCTGCAATTCTGACATACATAAATAAACATGTGTGAAACGGAAAAGGTGTGTGTGGATATCATTTCCCCAAAGTAAATGAGGTGAGCTTACATTGACTTTATTAGCACAGAATCCACACTCTGCTTTCAAACACGTCATGCAGTTCCACGATCCTGGATTAGGAGCAGAAACATAAGCAGAACATGTAGAATTGGCACCGAAATGTGTGGATTCCAAGTTACTGATGCGTGGAGCATGAGATGCTGCCTGGAAAAACACCCCAGATAACACCACCAAGCAAGTGATGATTCCAATCATGGAGATAAGCATCAGCCTTCTCCTTCCGTATCTATCTATGAAGCACATGCTGATGACAGTGCCAACCACGTTGAGTCCAGAAGTGACCAGAGAGAGTGCCAACGCCGTCTGGTTGGATGCAAACCCGGCAAACTGAACAATAGTTGGGCTGTAGTACATGACAGTGTTGATACCGACAAATTGCTGAGCCACTTGGACAGTAATGCCTGCATAGAGTCCTCTTCGGACAACGGGGTTGCTGAAGGCACCCTTTAATCTTGCTAGCACACCTTCTCCAGCAGCTCCTCCCTCGGCCTTTTCAGCTTGGACGGATTCATGCAAGGCTTGCATTTCACGCTCAACTTCTTCGGCAGGATAAATTTTCTCTAAGATGGCTCTAGCCTCATCTGCCTTATTCTGTTTAGCAGCAAATTATATGCTAAAGTGTGGTATTATATATGTCATGGAAATTGAATGATCATACAAAAATCTAATGGATGTAAAATTTCAACATGTTGGAATAACTACGACCATGATCATACAAAAAACAGGACACAAGACTTCGATTATAGAACACCTCTCTGTAGAGCCATCTGGGAGACTCTGGGAGCGACAACATCAATACAAATTGTACCAAAGCCGGAACTCCTGCTACGCCAAGCATCCAACGCCATGTTCCTGGAGCCTGAAGCAAAGTAATTTACAACAACTAATTACGTCGAAATTTGGAGATAAGGAAATTGAAACCATGAAAATGCTATTGGACTAAAGCCTCAAATCTATTAGTTGGTACCTTGGTGAAAGCAAGATTTATAAGGTATGACAAGAACTGTCCTCCAGTGATTAGAAAACCATTTGTACTGACCAGGGCACCTCGGATTCTAGCGGGAGAGGCTTCTGAGATGTAGAGCGGCGAGGTCATGGAAGCCATTCCAACTCCAAAACCGACCAGAATTCTCCCAATTATGATCACCCACGGAGCTGGTGCAACAGCCATTACTATTGCTCCAATGAAGAACACAAAGTCTGCTGCTAGGATTGATTTTTTCCGGCCTAGGGCATCGTTCATCCATCCGCCAATTGCAGCACCAATGATTGCTCCTGCAACTGCCATACTCACTATGGTTTCCTGCACATCAATGTCAATGAAAAATACCACAAATTTAGCTGACATAAACATAAATATGAGCTTAATTATCCAGACTAATTAGTAATTAACATGAGGAGAGCAATGTAGATTAACTCACTTGCAACCATGTTTTCTTGTCAACATCGCGAAAGTCCTCGCGAATGTAGAGTAATGCACCAGAAATCACACCTAAAGTACTCCAACAACAGACAGAAGAAAATTAACAAAATTAATCATGCATGGGAATTGTCCTTTGAATTAATCAAACTAACTTCTGGGTTTTAACCGTGATATGTATGATTTTATGTACCTGTATCGTATCCGAAAAGGAGGCCTCCAATGCCAGCAGAGAGAGCAAGGCGCATAATGTAAGGCGTCTTCCATGTTGTCCTCCAACACTCTGTGAACTCTGTCTTGCTAGCAGGCGGGTGTCCTCCCTCCATATCATTCACTATTTCTTCCTACTAACTCTAACCCTGAAACGCTCAGGTCCGAAACCATATATCACTTAATTACAATTTCAATCACTAGCCAATTCTCTATCTCTAAAATCCTCCAAATTTTTCTTGCAACGAGTTAATACCGTAAAACAAATAAAACATGTTTAATCCTTTCAAATTCTTTGGTAGTTCTTCTTCTTCAACACACAAGCAAAACAACCACAGATTAAGAAGAATAGCAGTGTTGAAAAAGCCATTACCTTGTTAGTATGCCTAATGGTGGAGCTCTTCCTGCTGTTCTTCAGCCGCCTACTTTTGGATTTTGGATGCTGCTTTTCTTATCTGTATTTTGAATTTTGGTGATGGAAATTAAATAAATTTGATTTTGTATTGAAATAAAACAATTTTGTAACAGATTCCTTTATTGTTTCAATTTTTGAGAGTTTCAATGCAAATAGAACACGGACATTTAAGGAAGACTGAGAGAAATCCAAATAAAAGAAGAAAAAAAAGCATTGACAAATCAGATTTTTCTGCAATTAATATATTTCCTGCACAAAGTCAGCAGAAAAAGGCTGACTCAAAATTTAGAATAATATTTGACTACTCAAAATGAGTAGTAATTCCTACTCAAAATTTCTTAAAATTATTTGTTGTCAATGTATAGAACTTCGTTTGTATGATCAAAACCGTTTATATTATAAATCATCCTATAAATATCACCTCTGCAAAAAATCAATTAAAATTAAAGTCGTTTAGTCATCAAACTGTTTAAAAACAATTGAACGGTATTGATAAAAGCATTACGAACCGGCTATGTATTTGTTACAATACATTGACTAAACGACCTTAGTTTTAATTTATTTTTTGCATAAATGATCTTTACAGTGTGATTCATAGTACGAACGATTATAATTATAAGTACAAAGCTCTGCGATTAAAATACTATGAATTTTGAGTAAGAATTCCTATTCATCTTTAAGTAGCCAAGTATTGTTCCAAAATTTAAAGCCATTTTCTCGCTAGTTTTTTTGGTTTTCTCGTTTCTTTTTTCAGTACAATCAATGACTCAGTACGACCTCAAAATTTCAAAGCTGCAATCTTTGGTACCCCATTGAGAATGCGACATAGGTATATGATATTTGATTCGATTTGGAAGATGATCTGACTTTTTTCAGTTTGTTTCCTTGTGTCACTATTTCCACAAGTAGTAAAGACGCTTCAAAGTTGTGACGAGTCTTTAGTTTTCGCACAACTATGTATTTTTATGTTTAATGTTTTTTGGACGGTTCCCAACTATTTTGTTCCAGGTGACAAGGCACAAGGATAAGGATGCTTGTACATGGAATGATGGAAATAAGATTAACATGGCAAGAAAAGAAAAAACCGAATGAAATTATTTCATCATATATGGTAGCGAGCGCTAATATCATAGGAATTCGATGTGAAGAATAAAGTGTCGGTTGTCGAGTACCTTACCTATTCTCCCTTCATCTTTATTCGGACTTGAAACCGATAGCCTAAGATAAACATACACATGCGGAATTATTATAAATATTGTTATTATTTGTGAAAAAGGTACATAATAGTATGAACATAAAATAATGTCTATCTTACCATGCATCTAGTACGCACAAGAAATGAAAATAGGGCATGAGTAGACTACCGAGTTGATAGTCTGGTTTGGTTGACATTCCATAAATTTGTAAAAACATCTGTAAATTTGATTGCTATACGTTGAAATCATATCCGTAAATTTAACAATCCGTAAATATAACAAATAAGTTTTCTTTCCTAGAGGTGACGAGCTAGCTAGCCTAAATTCAGCATGAATCCGTCCCGTTTAAAAAATTAAAAACTAAAAATAATTAAGTCAAAATAACACGTGTCACTCATATAAATAGGGCGTAGAAAGGCTGCATAGAGTTTTTGAGTTAGAAGATTTGAACTCCTCTAATTCAGTCTGCGGATTGGGCCTCTCTCAAAATTTAACTTTATGCGCAATGCCTTTTTTATCTTGGCCCAGCATTGAACCTTATAACTGTTTTACCGTTACTGTTTTCACGTTGAACTCAAACGCTTAGACGAAAAAGCCCTCATGTGTTTTATCATATTCCGAAATTACCTTAGATGTCGTCCTCCTCATCCCCCTCTCATTTGTCCGATGTGTTCTGACGCTCTCTCTGTGCCCTTTCATCCTCTCACCTCTCTCTCTGCTGGCCCTCCCCCCTCCTATCACCGCCCTTCACCGCCGGTATCCACGGCTGATTGCCATCCGTCTCATCATCCACGGTCACTCCCTCTCTCTCTCTCTCTCTCTCTCTCTCTCTCTCTCTCTCTCTCTCAACCTTGTACATTTTAGAATTGTATTCCTTACGAGTTACGGCTCGTTTGGATCTCCAAATTCCGATTTCGTGTATTTGTGAAACTTTCGATTGATTGTATATCATTTGGTTTGTTTTGCGTATTGGGTTGATATTGAAAAGTGTTTTTATGGATCGGATTGTTGCAGGTTTGGACACGTCCAAGCTATTGATCCGTTGTTGACCCCGCAATCTGGTAATTTCTGGATTTTAATTTCATTATTTCTTTGTGTCGTACATATTATTGCCAATAAATGTACTAATTTACTGTACAAGTTATTATCTTTCAATAGGATTTCGGGCCTGGTGGATATGACCAGTGATTGTTACTGGGTTATGTTTTTAGGCGTCCACAGTATGATATTCAATTGGGTATATTTTTAATAGAGATTCAATCAGTCAAAGCTATGAAATTTTTTTTTTCCCTCCTTTGACTTTTCAGCTATATTCGAGAATTGGGTCTGAGTTATACAGTGATCATGCTGTTTTCTTGAATAGTGCGAATTTATTTTTACTCCCAAAAGGAAAAACTTAAGTAAATTGCCCCTCTGATTTTAGGATTGTTTTGGAGCGAATGGGGATCATTCGGTTTAGCTCTTGCTCGGGAAGTAGTTGATCAATGTGGTTTGTGATTGGAGTCCCCCTTTTTTTTAATTGACTTTGAAGATTAGCATAATGGTACTAAGTGGTTTACTTCGTGAGTTTGGTCTTTCAGTGTTTAATGGCAATTATTACAGTATAAAGTTGATATTCTGAATAGTGCAGCTATGTGGACCTTTATGTTATATCATGCGATAATGTTTCGCATTGGGAACTTTCTTGAAATCTCAAATTTCATGTTGTTTCATCATCATTTCTTTGCCTCTGCCTCATAGTGCATTCTATTACAAGAATAACTGAATGAGGTAAATCGTTGTCATTATTTCTAGGTTTCAGAGGGAAAGATGGAGTGAGAGGAGGCCAAAAAGAAGGCATTGAGGTATTTCTTATAGCCTGTGTGACGGTAAACTTTTTGAGTGACGGTAAACTTTTTGAAGAATACGTACTTATGTAGATTGCAATCACAAAGACATTTGCTTGCTGATTGGTTAAATTGTTTTTCTTTTACATCTTATGCTCTAGTTCCAGTCCCTTTATTAAAATAATAGTTGTAAAAATCTCTACGGTGGAATAACTTGCCTTTAACATTTCAAATCCAGTTAATTGTTAGAAGTCTGTAATTCCTGATGCTTTCTTGATGCTGCAGGATTTGGCACTTTTTCTGTACGGCTAGATTGTAATTTGAAAAGGAGAAAGCTTCCCAGATAGATTTACATATGTAGAAAGCATCTAAGAGAAGGCATAGGGGCCACAATCTGTAATCCTACCTTAGCTTTGTAAGGAAGTCTCGGATTCTGTAATTGCTGAAAAGCCTTTTTCCCATTATATACCTTTCCTGCCTTACACGGTTCATCTGACAACTGTTTTTTCTTTTTGTCCAGAGAATCATTTGAAGGGGGAAAAGTAGATATTTTGTAGGTTATTAGTTTCTTAAAGATCCACCCTGGCTACTCATTATTAATATGGTTCATTAGCTTAAAAAATCTGTGGAGTTTGGGCAATGGCTTTTTATTCCGAAGAGGAAAAGACCGAGGATTATCTGTTCAAGATTGTTTTAATTGGTGATTCAGCCGTTGGAAAATCCAATTTGCTTGCAAGATTTGCTAGAGATGAGTTCTACCCTAATTCGAAGTCAACTATAGGAGTAGAGTTCCAAACCCAAAAGGTGGATATCAATGGTAAAGAAGTCAAAGCACAGATCTGGGACACAGCTGGTCAAGAGCGGTTCAGGGCTGTCACATCTGCATATTACAGAGGTGCCGTTGGTGCTCTTTTGGTATATGATATCAGTAGACACCAGACGTTTGATAGCATTGGCAGATGGCTTAACGAACTCCACAGTAAGTTCTTAGACAGTATTCCTAGAGTTTTTACTTATAATTTTCTTTTCAAGTACGTTTTTCTTCTGGGGCTGTTTGTTTGGTCAAGTGGAGACTTTTGTCAACATTATACATTATTTGGCTTACTTTCTAAGTAATCTCAATGAAGAATTCTCAATATTTGGCTTGTTTAGTGGACTATCTTAAATGAAGTAATGGCTTTTAAATATTGATTCAATAGTCAATCTGTTCTTCCTATACCCCTGTGGATTCAAAAGATTTCTTGCATTTGTCCTTAATTAATGTGATGAACTGAGGATTGATCAGGTGGATATACTGTTTAACAGCTCATTCTGACATGAACGTAGTTACGATACTTGTTGGCAACAAGTCCGATCTCAAGGATGCCAGGGAGGTACCCACTTCTGAGGGCAAAGCCTTGGCAGAAGCACAGGGTTTGTTTTTTATGGAAACGTCTGCTCTTGATTCGTCCAATGTCTCTGCCGCTTTTCAGATGGTTGTGAAAGAGATCTATAACATACTAAGCCGCAAAGTTATGATATCTCAGGAGCTCAAGAAACAGGACCCCAGTTGGGTAGGGAGTGGAAAGACGGTGGTTTTGCAAGACGGGAGCCAAGAAGCAGCAGTTGCAGAGCCTAAAAAAGGTGGGTGCTGTTCATCTTAGGGATACACAACACAAGAGGTGTGGACGGATCATTTTGGCGGGTCCCAACAACCCTCTTCTTCTTTTTTTGTTTTGTTCCCACTAATGTTCCTTGCATTCCTTTTCCATGTGATCTAATTTCTTGAATTTGTTTAAATGTTCATTCAAGAAACATGTTTTCACTCAGTCGGTTGAAGATAAGAAATTGAGGTAGAAGATGTAAATGACCTGAAAGGTGGATTAGAAAAGCTTATACAATGTTCAAAATCCAGTTATCAAAATGCACTGTACTTCTTAGCCAGTTTGTGTTTTTTCATTTATTGGTTCCTTATTCTTAATGCAAGATAAGATGGTGTTTCCCTCCATTTTGCTTTTGTTTCCTTGACCTTAATGGCTCATTTGGTGCCTAGAATTGGATCAGGTTGGATAATTCACTATATTCAAGGTACGTTGTTGCCCTTAAAATGCAAAATCATTCGCTACCTTAACATTCCTTTACTGTAATGATGACTAACGAGTTAATCAATCCAATCCTAGTCACCAATTGACCCCTAAACCTAAATGTTTGCTTTTTGTTGTGACTTAATGTTGATATAAGATCAACAATTGATCAAGGGGTTTATTGCTTTTTCATCTTTTGGTCTAAACAAGTACATATTGCAGTCAAATAAGGTCGTTGACGTTAATATGTTTGAGTGTATTTTATACATGAAAATTTTAGCCGTCATATCTTGTCATTAAATTATCTTAACCAAGAATCTAAAGGCCGAAAACCCTGCATACTAGCAAATCCGGTGGTGGTACTTCAAATCGATGACATAATTGGTAAGGAATACTAGCACCATGGTCCGTCCGAATTGCAGGCAAAAATGTTACCAGTCGATGATATCAGTTGAAATGATGTTTTGGTGGACTAAAAATAATTTGGACTGGAGGAAACCATCCCATCCCGTGATCCCAGGCCCCACAGCCGCTACTCTTTACTCATCGCTCACTTTTTGAAAACTAATAATTAAAAAATAATTTATGAGAAAAAAAGGTTCGATGACAGAAATGCCCCTATAGTACGACGTGGTGATATTTTATTGCCTCAGATCATACGTACCCTGTAGATCCAGTTTCCACTTCCGACCCCCACAAACACCATTTTACTCATTTTCTCAGACAGAAGCGGATCAAATATAATCCCTGTGGGTTTTGTTTGTTCAAATTTCTCGCCTCTCCTCTCTTGATAAAATATATAAAAAAAAGTTATAAAAAAAAAAAAAAATGAATCTCCGGAATTGTTATTCTACGAAGAAAACGGCAACTCCATCCTCTCAACTCATGCGATGCAACAAGGTAAATACAGTCTCTTATTCTTCTTAATTTGCTAAATGTTTATGTTGACCTGAGGCTGACTGTGACTGACTGGTATGGTGGTCTGATTTGTATGAAGATGCCGTCTTTCTTTTTTCCCAGATATCAAATTAGCATCAAAATTGCACCTTTTTCTCGTTTCCTTCATAAAAATCGCGGCTTTATGTTTTTCCCCGGATCTTTCTTTCTTGTACAAATTACAGTTGCCCCGTTTTCTATCCATGATGTAAAACTGCTTTGTTTTGGTTGATTTCCTTACTGTTAGCAGCCATTGTTCATATTTGTTGATAGTGCTTTTTGTAAACCAAGTGATTTTTTTTTTCTTTTGGATCAACTTAAATGACGCTAATTGTATAATCGTATCATGAAATTGAACAGAGATGAAGTTCGATTCTCACTTTTTGTGCTAAAGGGAGCAGCAGCCCTTACTAGGAGCCCTTATAGTTTATAGGCAAAGGAGACGCTTGCCAAAAAGAATGATGAATAGTAAGGGCGGCGAGTGCAACTTGGTGGACAGAATTAGCAAGTTGCCAGAAGAAATTCTCGTTACTATTGTGTCTCTCTTGCCACTAAAAGAAGCAGGAGCTACCAGTATTCTTTCCAAGCGATGGCAATATGTGTGGGCGTCTACCGTGACTCTCGATTTTGATCCTAAACATGAGCTGGGTGAACATTATTGCCGCCTGCTGCGTGTAGAACCAGAACAAAAAGACCTGCTAAGACAGAGATATGTCGATTGGGTAAACACTGTGGTGGAACAACATAGAGGCCCTGTTATCGAACAATTCCGGGCTTACTTTGATATAGATGGTCATTTTACAAGTTCCATTGATAAGTGGATTCAGTTTGCAATGAATAAGAGAGTTCAAATACTTGAGCTGGTGTTTTGCAATGAATTGAGATCTAACTATAAAGATGTCTATCCCTTTCCCGTCCAACTTTTAGGTCTCCAAAATGATTCTACCTTGAAGCTCAATCCCACCCATTCTGACATTTCAAGTCTACATTCCTCTAGATACAATGTTGGATTTAAGTTCCTCAGAGTTCTTTATTTCAATTATGTTGACGTGTCTGGAAAAGTTCTTGAATACTTACTGTCAAATTGTCCAGTTCTTGAAAGATTAAAAGTGGACAGTGCTAACAATAAGTTGGTTAATTTAAGAGTAGTTGGTTCGTCGATGGCATTGAAATATTTAGATATTCAATTTTGTTTTGCCCTCAGAAGCATTGAGATTCGTGATGCAAACCTTGTTTCATTCATGTATGTGGGAGGACGTCATATAAACTTGCTTCTCAGTAACGTACCTTTACTTGTAGAGGTATGCGTTAATGAGCGTATTAAACCTTTCTTGTTTGAGGGTCGTATCTACTATCGATCCATACAGCTTCCCTTCACCCAACTGTCATGCTGTCTTTCTCAGCTAGAGGTCCTCATGCTACCCATCGATGGAGCGGTTAGTATATGCAATTATAATTTGCTGGTTTTCTTTTCTTCTGTTTTCGTTATGTAGTTTACTTAATTTTTTTCCATTCTATGTTTCTGATAAATAGAGTCAAAAGTCGCTCTGAATAAGCAGTAGCTTGTGTTATACCATAGATTGAGCCTCAATATTTGAGCCTCATTACTTAGCCCATAAATTACGTAAGAGGGGAGAAAAACCCCATAGATTGAGCCTCAATATTTGAGGCTCATTACTTAGCCCATAAAGTACGTAAGAGGGGAGAAAAACCCAACCCTTAGCAACAAGTAATATGGCAAACCCTAACCTCTCTAGCAACAAGTCTCTGTGTACAAATGCTCCCCCCATCCTAACCTCAAGGTGGTGGAAGTACTAGGGTATCGTGCTCATCCACGTGTTGGTGAACATGTCATGCACCTTATAAAGAACGTTGCTGCACTGGAGAAAATAATTATCGATCCTGTCCGGCGTTGGGTGTATCCTATTGGATCACATTCTAACGAAAGGGTTAGGGGAGTTCAAGAGGTCAAAGAGGAAGTGCAAGGAAGAGCTCATGCTATGCAGCACCTAAAAGAAATTGTGCCTTCAACTATTGAATTCGTATGCCTCTAGTATCAGCAAGTGCAGTGCTGAAATTATACAGACATTGTATTCGGTTGGAATTCTCAAAGACTAGCTAGGCTCAGATTAATGGTGGTTAAGTGTGGTGTGAGCAAACAAACTTGAACCAAGACTTGGTTTGCCATTCTTTGCTTATATTTATTAATCTTTTTCCATTCTATGTTTCTGATAAATAAAGTCAAAAGTCGCTCTGAATAAGCAGTAGCTTGTGTTATACCATAGATTGAGCCTCAATATTTGAGCCTCATTACTTAGCCCATAAAGTACGTAAGAGGGGAGAAAAACCCTTAGCAACAAGTAATATGGCAAACCCTAACCTCTCTAGCAACAAGTCTCTGTGTATAAATGTAACTCTCATATATTGTTGTATTCTTGTGTATGTGTGATTTACGATTAGATTTAAGTTTATATTCCAAAAACTAAAATTAATTGTAAACATTCAGAATAAAAACAAATGTTGGTCTCATGGCCCGCCAAAACGGTGGAGGCAGTGATACCGCATCACCACAAGGCAACAGGATATGACACCACCGTCGACGGAGGAGCTCCCAAGCCGAAGCCGGAAGGACCATCAACGTCGACGATAATCTTTATGCGACGTTAACTTTTGGAATGTACAGGCACCGATTTTGCCTGCTCCTTTCAGTTGGAGACGGATCAATGTCCCCCGTCACAACACAACAAACAAAAAAGCATCAAAATTTTGAACAGAAAAGGGAAAATCTAAGTGGAAGATCGAAAAGCACTAAATAAATTGAAAGAAAGTCGACCCAGACTTCGCAGATAAACCCTAAAAACCCAGAACAGGGCCGCAGACTAGAACCCTAGCACTAGCATATGAAAATAAGAGAGTGATTAATTAAGCACATGGACAGGAGGCTTTATAATGTCAGCACATTACGTCAATACCGTCCGATGTGCATCGCGTGGCTAGGAATGAGTGATAGTTAATACGGCCGCCCCCAAACAAAATTAGGGTTTGACTCTATTCTGTTTTGGGCCCAAGGGTCTTTGGTACGTAGGCCCCGCAATTGAGCATATGTAAAACTTTGCACAAACAAGTGCAATAGCAATATGAATCAACAAAGACGAGTAATTTTTTTCTTCTTAAACAAACGATATTATATACACTCAAGTGCTAAGTAAAACAACATTAAACCTCATCCCACACATGCAGGAGACATCAAACAGACTACCATTCTGCCTGCAGTTTATAGTGGAGTCGATGATCGAGTCCTTGTAATTCAACAACTTCTTGTCATAATTTGTATATAAAACTGGAAAACTATCAATCAAGAGAAACATTAACAAATCTTATTAATATTTTGAGGTACATCCATTACACGCACAGTTCGGAAACCTACCAGACTCAAACGACATACATTGCTGCAGATGCAGTAGTATCAGAAGAACACCAACTTAGTAGACACAATACATGAGCAGCCAGCCCTCCTATATTTTCCACTCTGATTCAGTGTACAAATTATATTATACTGGATCCACTCACCCCCTCTTTGAGTTCAATTCGCGGCTTTTCAACAGAATAACAAACAAAATATATGCCAATGTTCAACAACATCATCGTCAACCGGCTGTTAGATCAACCATTCACAATTACTATTCTAGGGGGATCCCTTTGTCAATGACGCTCAGCACTTTCCTTCCAAACCCAACCATGAGTTCACTTCGATCTTTGTTGAGCTTTTCTAGAAGCATTTGATGAAGGGGGCTATTTTCGCGCTTTGTGGCCTTCAATGCTGTTTGGATCACGTAGTTTCCATACTGATCTCGCGCAACTTGCCAGAGTTTGTCATACTTTAGAAAAACATTCACTACAACTTCCATTCCCAAAGAGTTTAAGCACATCTCTACAACGTGACTCCCGCCTTTTTGCAATGAGAGTTGTATGTAAAGATTTCGAAGCTCAAAGCATATCTTTGCAGAGAAGACTGGGTTATATAGCGTGAAGATGTGCTGGACAACAAAGTTCCTGAAAGATAACAAAGTTGCTGAACAGTTAACCCGAGAAAAGAAATGATGACATTATACAAAATGTAAACAATAAGATGAAAGAGGGATTTTCTGTACCCCGAAGGATCCTGAGAAAGGAATTTTGAGTTGCTCGAGACTTTGTCCATGAGTTTCTCTCTGTATGGAGTTTTACTGTTGGTGATGAACTCATTCAAGTGTATGCATCCCCTTTCGTGCTGAGCCAATCGGACGCAAAGCCTCACAACAGCTTCATATATTTTCTGCAATCAAATCAACCAAATGTTGAAGTTTTCAGAAAAGCGCTTAAAATATGTGTCCAAAACAGAAACATAAAGTAACCCTAGCTACCTTATTTTTCTCAATGTCAAGTTGGTTTAAGCACTTCAAGATGACATAGGATCCTGTACGATTGGTCATCAGTTCTTCGACAACATCAGATAGAGCTGATGTCAAAGTGTAAATCAGGGGCGATTTCTCGAGCACCTTGATCAGCATTTGAATTGATTTTGAGCTGCAGAAACAAGTTAAGCAACCAGTCCATCACAACTATGAAGCATAAAACGCAGATATATTTCTCCAAAGCAAACTGTTTTCTTGAGGGTTAAGGAATAAGGATTAGATGGATACCCATAATTGCAGACTGATATGTTGATGAGTGGTTTAGAATTCAAAGTTATCTTAGCCACAATGAGTCTCAACTGACTGTGATTGCATGATTCAACAAGCTTCCGAAAAACATAGTGTCCATGAAAGTCACACATCACCTCGAATAAGGAACCAAAAACCCCTTCGAGTACCATACTCTTTGCTAATGGGTCGCTGGGAGTTATCATTCTCTGTACCAAGGCCTGCGATCCGAGTTGAGTCATAGCGAGTCGAGCTATCTCACTATGTATTCCTGAACTTTGGGCCCAATTATTACCTTTGAAATAATATAATCCAGTGCTTTCAACATTGCCTCTGTAATTTTGTCCTCCATAATTTTGGTTCCAATCGCTATTACCAAAAGGGCTAAGCTGGTGTGCCCAATTGCCCAAAGATGTAGATGTTGCTCCAACACTCCAATTTGCTCTTGTCCTTTCTTCTGTAGCCGGATTGCCAATAAGTTGATGGACATTCAGATTGTTTGAACCCATAAAGTTTCCTAGAAAATCAAGAACATAAATTACATAGGCTCATAACGTATACACACATAAAATTAAGGTAACATTTATATACAGGACGAGAGATTCTCTGTATTTTTACTCGGCCTTCAACACTTTTGATATCAGTATTATTTAGGGTATAAAATAATCTGTCTTCGACTTTATGGTTTAAGCGTAGAAAGGACCATAAAGTCGAAGACTAAAAAGATGTACTGTAAACAAGTATCAAATTTTGAAACCAATCGAGACTAAAACCCTAAAGTTTAATCCCTACGCAAGGTTCTACCCTTGGAAGATCAAGGTCGAAAAAATAGAACAGTCAATAAATCCTATCATGTTAAAGAAAATTCTGCAGTTAAAAGTTTTCCAAACGCATCATGTCTTTAAGAAAGACGGTTAAAGTCTTGCATACGAAACTATATATACATTACACATGAATTGGGAGAGTGGATACGAAGATTACCTCTAGCGTTCACACTATTGCCTCCCCATATACTCTCTGAATACAATGCCATTGGAGCTCTCGGACAATTTCTTAACCCGCTTTCGTATCTCGGATAAAAATCATATTGTGCTTGTTCGATTTTGGTGGGAGTAGCATATGAAGACGAACCCGGAGAACTAGTGCTGCTTTTGTCCACTGTTACCCGAACGTTGCCGAAATAATGGCAGAGGTCGGCTTCTTGTTGTCGTCGAAGAGAGTAAGAAGGAGGCACGCAAGGAGTCTCTGGATTGGGAGGGTCGGAAGCAGAGTAACATGAAGTCGCCATTGTTACAGAGAGAGCAAGAACTTCAAGAACCTCAAGAACCAGAAGACGAGAAAGAAATCAGAATTAAAAAATAAATAAAAAGAAGCAGAAGGCTATTTTGCATAAAAAGATGTTTGGGTCTTGGTTAAATATAGAGTGCGGTGATCCCAGTTTATGTAGGATTCTAGTCCCTGGTTGATTAGGGTTTTTATTACACTTATGATTAGTTTTTTTTTTAAGATAATATGATTAGGAATTACCGTTAATATTAATTAGAAAAGTGTTGGAGGTAAAATAACAAGAGGAATTATTGTTAATTCAAGTAGGATTTGTGTAAAGGATGGACGAAACCTGGGAGGTTTATAGGGAAGCTTGCAGATAAAGTTTTGCGAAAACAAATCGGTGACTTGAAAAACAAGTTCTAAAAGTACACATTATTTCTCATCCTTCCGGTTTGGTCTAGTCCGGTTCAATACGGTATGGCCGATTGACATTTTTAGAAAATTATTGTAGTCAATGCGGTTTGAACTAATAACTCAAACAAAATAAAGGCCATGCAATTTTCATACATAGATATCTCACACATTGCAAAGTGTGTTTTCAAGACCACACCCCACAGGAGAAGTTCTTGGGTATAAAAAATGGGTGTGAGAGGCAAGGTGGGGCAAAGTGGGGTAAAGTTAACATGACAAATCAAGGGGTGCCATATGTGGTTTTTATGTGTTGGGGCCCGTATTGACACGTGGTCTGAGTGTTGGGTCTCACAATTTATTTATCATATAAAGTTAAGTACTATTAACCAAATGAAAATGATAAACACACTATTTTTCTCCTCCTGTACATCGTGTTAATCTTGTCCAGTTTAATATGATGGCCAAAAATCTTGAGGGATGTGTGAGGGTCTAAAAAAATGGGGTGTAAAACCTGCTCCGTTAACAGAATTGAGCACCAATTTTGAAGAAAAACTTCTAGTGCCTAGGAGGATATTGTGCAGTATACAAAGTCAATCATGCAGTGGAATATGGGCAACATTAAGCCGGTTGCAGTATATGATTGACTTCAGATACCACCAAGAATGAAATATGCAGTGCAATATGAGAAATCCTTGTTTCATACTTGACCCAACGAGAAAATGTGACAAGTTGGCAATATACATGATGCAGAGAAAACAAATTGTGGAGTGTAACCTGATACAGAAAAAACACAATGAACAGTAAAACATGACCAAAATTTCAACAAGAAGCTAGAATTCATTGAAAATGGTCTACAAGTTTAGTCCTAATTCAAAGCCTTCATGCATATTTTCTCTTCCCCTAATCAAAATCTGCCAGCAGCAGCGCAGCAAAACGTAACTCCAGCTCGTGGATTTTCCGACTACGAGTAATTGTTTGAAGACATAGGCGAGTCTTGCCAACAAGTTTTCTGAATCCAACAAGCTTTCCTCATCTGTTAGCTTCCTCTGTCATACAATCTTGAAATATAAACGAGAAGTTAAAACAAACGATCAGCACTACATAAAGATTTCCTAACACTAATTTTTCTTGTTTTGATTCCAAAGCATGTTAGATGAAACAAGAGACAAAACTATAAGCTAGGAAGCCTAAAAATAATGTAGCTTCGAAACTCTCATAAGTTCGTTGCAGTGGACATGGTGCTTCCTAAAGAACTCTAAATAGCTATACCGTGGGTGGCGAAGGCGTTACAATGGGATGATAAGGGTGAAAACTCGAATTAAGTTGCTTGGAAACGACAATCAGCCATTACTATAAACCATCAATCAACTACAATAAAGGCTCAATTTCTATCGACTTCATTATTTAATGTGTTGATCATCAATGGCTCGCTCCCGGCAAGTCCACTGCCTAGTTATCTCATGTTGACTGAGACAAATGTGTGTGTGGTCTATATGCCTTAAATTTTACATCTTCGACTAAAAAAGTGGTAATCAATCTTAATGCCACACTTCAACTGACCCTTTGTTTTTAAGTAACAAGAGGAGATAATAACAACTTGACGATGAAGTAACATATCCTGCAGATGTGCACCAATAATAACAGACACAGAATACATACACCCGTGTTCTTGTTGTGTGATAATTAATGTCAATTTCATCTTCTAAAGTTAAAAGTTAATCTTTTATCAATGACAAATAGACGTGAATCCAAGAAAAAACAGATGAACAGTTCCCAACTTACTGGTCTTCAGTGAAGAACCTGTAGAGAAGAGCTGCATAAAGTCCATTTCTTGTGCATGATTAAAGTTCACGTCCTGACATTAGTACACGAGGGAGTGTTTATCCTGAAACGGGACACCAACATCTCATGGGGCACATCAATGAGGAATTCTCTGGTACACAATAAATAATAATAAAAAAAAAAAGCATACGAAAACACCAACCATTGCTTTACGCACATGGAAAATGCAGCTGAGAATTACCATCGACGTCAGCTCCTTCTACTTCTCCTCTAACATCAATAGTTTGTCCAAATTTAGGCTTATCATCACTGATCACTCGAATCTCTTCCACAGACAGATTCTGCTCGACTGGACCAGAGGTGCAATCCTCAGTAACAAGTACATGGACAAAGCAAACGTTGCGTGTTCCTAACATGCATTAGGCTACTAAAAATGAATGACTAATAGACTTTCATCTACTTGTTCTTTAGTACCTTTCGGGCCATTAACAGAAGCCTCATTTGTAGAAGTATTTATTGTTGGAAGTTTGAGTAGAAATTTCTTTGTCCCACATTGGCCATTCCCAAAAGAGTTTATCACTTTATAAGGCTTTGTCCTTTAAAGAAAGTAATTGGAGTAATAGGCCTGGAGACTAAAATTGGGCTCATCCATGGGGTTGGGTTTTGGGGTGTATTAATTATTTGGTAATTAATATATAATTAATATATAATTAATTATAATTAATATATATTTAAGGATATGTCCTTACACAATCCCATTATGCAGAAAAAAATATTACGAAAAAAATATTACGAAGGTTTGGTCAATTTGACTGCAAACCTGCTGCGACTCCTTTTGATGCTGGATGCAAGTTGGAGAAAAATAAAGGCGATGCCAAATCTCAACTTGAATATTCTCAAGTAATTGGAAGTCTAATGTACTTGATGAATTCAACTAGGCCCGACTTAGCTTATGCAGTAAGTAGGCTTAGTAGATATACAAGTAATCCGAATAAAGGCGATGCCAAATCTCAACTTGAATATTCTCAAGTAATTGGAAGTCTAATGTACTTGATGAATTCAACTAGGCCCGACTTAGCTTATGCAGTAAGTAGGCTTAGTAGATATACAAGTAATCCGGCACAAGAGCATTGGGATGCTTTAGTAAGAGTGTTAAGGTATTTGAAAAATACACTTGACTACGGATTACACTACACAAAATATCCACCTGTTGTAGAAGGCTTCAGTGATGCCAATTGGATTTCTGACACTACAGAATCCAAGTCGACAAGTGGATATGTTTTTACCTTGGGAGGTGCAGCAATATCTTGGAAATCCTCTAAACAGAAATGTATAGCTCGGTCCACCATGGAGTCCGAGTTTATAGCTTTAGACTTGGCTGGCGAAGAAGCCGAGTGGCTCAAACATTTTCTGGAGGATATTCCAATGTGGCCAAAGCCGGTAACGGCTATATGTATACATTGTGATAGTATGGCCGCCCAATCAAGGGCCAAAAGTCATGTATACAATGGGAAGTCACGTCACATCAGACGTCGACACAATACTCTTAAGAAGATGCTCTCCAATGGAATAATATCCATTGATTATGTGAAGTCAAAGGAAAATATAGCTGATCCTTTGACAAAAGGCCTACCAAGAGAGCAAATATTATTTACATCGAGGGGAATGGGTCTTAAGCCAATTCAATGAATCGAACTGGGCGGAAACCTAACCTAGCTGATTGAAGATCCCATGGTCTAGGTTCAATAGGCAAACTGGTTGAGTTTGATTCAAAAGTTGAACACACAACTTACCCATTCTTATGATAAAATGTGTGTTGTCTGTTGACGTTTCAGGGGTTATGTTTTATACATTTAATGACATTAATATCTTGTTATCAAGAGGAATATGGTAGATTATTCTTAATTAATGTCACCTATATAGGAGTAAATGGGGCCACATTTATGAGAATTGACATGGCTAAATTCTCTAAAGCTCCTACGAAATCCGGGATCTGTTCAGGGCCAAAATGAACACAACCGTATGAATTGACGTGTGGCAGCCATGATATGTGTGTAGCATATTGTCTTGGTTTACTACTGCGGTGAACAGTTCAAGATCTTCCACATCCATTGCGTCACCAAGTAAACCCGATATGTTTTCACTAGGGTAAGTTCAAGTCCAAAAGACACTTCACCCGATGCATATTATGACTATTCTCTCTCAGTTTTAGGCAGCCTAGTCACACATTTGCATTCAAATGTGGGGTTATTATTGGAGTTTTGAATGAAATTTCAACTCAAATGTGGGGTATTGTTGGAAGTTTGAGTAGAAATTTCCTTGTCCCACATTGGCCATTCCCAAAAAAGTTTATCACTTTATAAGGCTTTGTCCTTTAAAGAAAGTAATTTGAGTAATAGGCCTGGAGACTAAAATTGGGCTCACCCTTGGGGTTGGGTTTTGGGGTGTATTAATTATTTGGTAATTAATATATAATTAATTATAATTAATTGTCAAAAGATGGGCCTTGGGCCTTGAGGCTCTAATAATTAAATTAATTAATTATTTTCGGAATTAATTAATTATTTTTAATTTCGAATTTAAATTAGTTAATTATTTATTTTTTCCAACAGACTCATCTTTTCAGATGAAGTCTGAAGTGTGAAAACGCAGAAACAAAAACACCCATTTCAGCAGATGTCTCCCAACAGTTGCATCCCTTCCTTATACCTGTTGCGAACAGGTACAATCACATTATATATACATCCATCTGCATGGCATTTACAATATAGAAAAATCATAAATCTCCTCCTGCAATCTTAAACATCCTTACTGAGAGAACCACATTAATATTCGCCAGAAGTCTATTTTCCGGTGTTGGAATTTCTGACTTAGATCGTTGAATCCTGGTGGAACAGACGTCCGTAGAACTACAAGCACAGAGTAGGGACGAAATTTCTGTTGCAAGGACATTGCGGTACGCAAGCCTCGATCTTCAAGTTGTCTGTTTTATAATTCATATTCTAGTTTATATTCTGTTAGTTTCTATTGCATTTATTATTTATTAGCATATATAAATTATCACAGATTGTTGACTTAAATCCAACATTTATTGACCGCGCAAGACGTTTAACACAACTGAAACGCAGTCCATTTGGAAGTCTCCCAGATTTAAAATCTCCAATTCGGAAACCTATTTGATATAAAAATTAAAGATCATAAACAATTAAGTTCCTGCTTAACTAGATTCATAGATTATATTTAACACCATCAAACTTACAAGAAGCATTACTAGCACCACCCTTTGGAGCCACCTGTGCTACGATTTGGTGATTACCAATAACCTCGCCACCTAAATTATTCAACGAACGCGCAAGCCGCCTTATATGACTCAAACGCAACCACTTTGGGAAATTAGCCGATTTAGAAGCTACAGCCTCCAAACCTGTAACACATTTCACACAGCGTGACAAACTTTTCAGTCTCCAACAACTTTGGACATGCGAAATGACAATGCAGTTATACAAACACGCTTACATTCGGAGTGCTGCAGAGCAGACGTTCCGCGGTTGTTTTTTCGAGCAGTAACTTCCCAAACGTCACTGTTCCCTCCTGATGCTCCCGCTTCATGTTCATTGCTAATTTGCTGTGATTGGAAATCCCCTGCTTTAGCATTTTCAACTCTCAGTCGTCCCTTACGCGACGTCGTTGCCGCTCTTGTTCTGAAATCCACAAGAAAACCAAATCTTCACGATTCATTTTTACCCCTCAATTATTTTCCATAATTTTTCTCCGTTTAATATGAATGACAATTAAACTATAAACCTAAAGTTCTACCTTGAGTGAAACTGATATGTGTGCGAGAAAAGCGTTGTGAGGGAGTACCCGGAGTTTCATCGTGATCAGAATTCAGAAAGCAGCAATTCATGCATTTGATTTTATCAGGCATGGAGTTCGAATCACAGTGCGGGTGATTTTATCATATAGCTTTTGTGGTTACGGAATGGTTACTCATTTTCGGGAATTCAGTGTTCAAAATCCCTCTAGCCTAAAACAATTGACAATGCATGGAGTAGCTTAACTACATCACATAATCTCGATTCTCAGGTGTGACGACGAGACTCAAGTCAAACACATTGAGTGACGTCCAGCTCCTAATAAGCACGTGGATCAACTTTTCGATGTGCTATACAGACAAGCAGCTTCGTCCTTTCCAAGTTTTAAAAGCCTTGTAGGGAATTACCTAACATCTCACTTGAGGTCAGCACTGCTCCTGAGTTTAACTACTGAGATATTGAACTACAAGTCAAGATAAAGGTAGTTTTTGTTTGGTGAAAAGCCGAAGACAAAAAGGGTAAAACTGCAGTAAAAGTGAGAGCTATTCTCTTTCTTTGCAAGGCCGACATTTTTACATCACCGAATTTCGAGATTCAGGTTTGGGACTACAACTAGGAACTCTTCCTACCAAAATTTACACAATCAGTCTTTCATGCTCTAAGCGTCATAAAACAACACGAAATTAGAAATTTAACAGGTTTTGCAGTCACCCTCTGGTTCACCTCCATGCAGAAGACGTTGCCATAGCTCTTTGCATCCAACTAAGGTAGAGAGCCCCATTTGCCTCTTGAACTCTAAAATTCCCGTGATATTCCTTCAACAGAACCCTGATAGCCTCCGTCACTTTAGGACTCAGCGGGTATGGAGTAAATCCATCCATCGTTAGCCTTGACCTCCACTTCCCGAAAGGTTCATGGCGTTCCACCCTCTCGGCTCCTTCACAAGCAACCATGTTCACGATGTCTCTAGCCACACAGTGCATCTCTGCGCTGATCCGCTGTTTGTCATCTCTTGGGCAAGCTACGTCAATTGATTCAAACATTGCTGTATAATAATCTACCATTTCAACAAACCTTGAGAAGAATGGGGAAGTGTTGGTGTTGGATTCTTGTTCCACAAGTGTCATAACTTTGGGCGATAAACTCTTAACCAGCCTTAACAAACGATCTCTGTGATTTTCAGTGCTCACACTCTCATCTGGCATGTGGTGCAACACGTATGGAAAATTAACGGCTATGGCTTCACCAGGTAGAATCCTGAGATTATGAAGTTCAACCTCAGAACCACACATGGCGGCAGCATTAAACTCAAATGGCACGTTGCATGATGCAGCAAGCTCTGAAAGCCTATTACCCACGATATGAAGTCCCCCACCACGAGCATGCTCTGATTGGGTATCATCAACGCCTGTGATTCGGATACGTGGTGGGCCACCAGGCTGACGAGCTAGATCTTGGATGAGGGGAATCCACTGGCTGCCCTGTGCAATCTGAAAATCAATTATGTGGATTCTTGGCTCATTCTCCAACGCTTCCCGAATGACAACGTTTGCAGACATGTAAGCAAACCTCCAATATGGGCAGATCTTATAGAGGACAGACATGTATGACATAAGTTGCGAGCTCGTTGGAACTTCACATTTTAGGGTTTTGTAGATCGAACTCCCTGATCTTTCCAACCTTGCTCTGAGACCTTCCAACATGTAAGCCCCCAGTCTTTGCATTGGCTCCCCAGAGACTGACACCATTTGCCCCAAAACTTCCATCAAGCATATTGCATTGTCTAATTCGTTTTCGGATATCGCACGTGCACAGTCAATGAGAACATCTTTTAGGTTTAACTTAGGTATCGTTTCGGCTATTTGACTCTGGCTCCACCTTGCCATACCACTCCTGTGAGAACAAAAGTGGCTGTCAACAATATCCGAATCAGGTCCTAGCAATGAAACTTCCATTTCCCTGAGCTTGTACTTGAAGTCATCATCCACAATTATGGAGCACCCACTTATTGGTGATCCATAATTGTTGCCAGAGGAATGGTGCTGATCAGAAAAGCACGAGTGAGAACCTTGCGGTGAAAATGGACTCCTGTTAGACAAGCCACTAATAGCAGATGGGGAATCGCAGGGTAGAAAGTCAGTGGATGGAGATGATTCCAGGGTAAAGAACTGCTCCTTGTCATCCTTGTCGGTTTGAAAGGAAAGATTGTTTCCTTGGCTACCAGTATCCGGATACATGCTGTTTTCCAAAATTTGGAAACCACAGCGATCAATCTGCTGCACAGGCTGGTGATACAACGCTATACCTCGGTGTTGCTGAGATGTTTTCATATAAAGAAATGAAATGTTGGACCAATCCAGAGAAGGATTCTCACCTAATATATGTTCCTAAAACTTTACTCGATCGCCCGTCTAATAGATCTTAAACTGAATCTCAATAAAAGTGACAAACTGCTTCAACTGTGGAAGAAAAATCACAAGAGAACCACCAAATCTGCACATAGGAAACAAGTTTATGTTAACCAAACAACCAATAAAAGCGACCTTTACATCAGAAGCTTGATCACAATAAATTTTTATTCTTAGATGAAAGATTAACGTCACGAGAAGCGAGAATGATCACCAATCAGAACCTCACAACAACATAATTGAGTACGCTACAAGCAAAATATGATCCCTTCAAACCACTAAAACAATAAAATTCGCCCCTCTATTTAGAAACTCGGAAAGTCAGAACCTGAAAAGTGAAAACTCACCTACCAAACACGTAACTCCGCCATAGGTAACTTGGGATTCTATATCTTTTATCTACCCAAAGAAGAAAAAGCACTCAGCAGGTGAAACCTAACCAGCACAGCCCCCACTACTCTAATTACCTACTAATTTCTCCTCCAACATCCCCAGACAATAACAGCAAAACGTGTACTTTTTTTAGGAACACGATTGTTGAAACGCGTTTTTCTGTCTAATTATTATTTAATTCCACCTCTCCATCTTTTCTTATGAATTGTAATAAAAGTAACTAATTAATTACCCTAAAAAAAGGTACTTTAACATAAAAAAAAAGTGGCTAAATTCCGGAATTGTTTGATTTCTTCAAATAAGTTGGTCTCAGATCAACAAAAAAATGGCATTAAAACAACATAATTTCACAAATTATTGAACATAAAACAATTCAGACAGACAATAGCGATAAAAACATGGCAAAAAAATATTAATTCCCATATGCAGACGCCAAATTAGAATTCAAATCAGCGAAAACAATCAACCTTTAAAAAAATCCTACAGAAACTCATGTTCCCAGTTCACGAAATCATCCAAAAAAAACAAGGTTAAATATTTACCTTAAAATTCTCAAAACAACAAGCACCCCAAGTCATAACAAACCTTCTTAATCCGAACCCAGGATTAAAAACAAGATATTAATCGAAATTAACGAAAGCTTACCTTAATCGCAGAGAAGGCAAGTCAGCTGAATTAGTGAGCTCAGGTCAGCTGGGAATGGTGGGTCGGCAAAACCTTAACTTTCAGATTCCTCTTCTTCAGGAGTCAGGAGTCAGGAGCCAGAGAGCAATCCTTCTGTCATGTCTAGAACTAGAACTATGTGTTGCGACGTAGTAGGTTTTTATAGTTGCACCTGATAAAATGCCACCGCTGTTTGGAGAGAATTACAATGTCGCCCCCTTTGTATTCCACTTTTGGAAGACAGTAGACACGCATAGGGTTGTGGTCCGAAATGACGAAATTAACCTTATTCCAATGAACGACGTCACGACGTGTGATCAGCAGTCATGACTACTGTCCTTTGTAGACTTTTAGTTAAGTCAAAGCGTATTTTAGAGAGGATTTGGGAGAACAACTCCGCGCTTCATTTATTCAATGTGTTCTTCTTCTTCTTCTTCTTTGGTTGGTCTCCATTTATAATCCTTGTATACGCGCTTCACCAATTTCATATCGTCATGGGTCAATTATTATGAATGGATTACTCTAATCCCATCTTATTCTTTCTTTATTTGATAAACTTAAATCATTGATCGAACAAGCGATTGAATCATCTTAAAAATGAGCTTAAGGAAATGATTGTATATAATTTGGTCTCCTTCGTTTGGTCTTGTTGTTAATTATGAATCAACTATATCAACAATTGGAAATTAAACATCTCAAAGACTTAACTTGATTTCAACTATATATGTCAAAAATATAAATGTAAATTAATATGAAGCAAGAAAAATAATTAAGCAAGGGTTCTAGTCCGTCATGCAAGTTGAAGGAAGACGAGAGGGAGAGTATTTTGGATTTTTCTGCTATTTACCAAAGCATAATATGCATTAAAATTTTAAACAGTTAAATTCTTCGTAGCATGGAATGAATAAATTTAGTTATTGCCTTTTTGGCAAACTAAAAACATACTAACCAAAGGTTAATTAAGAAATAGTTTGTTGTAGTCAAGCTTCGGTTAAATCAAAATTCAACCAGCTTAAGGGTTTGACCCTCTCATATAAGGAGGTAGATTGTCTGCCTTCCTATTTGGGTGTCCTTCCCATCCCTTTCTATTTGTGCGGTCACAGTTAAGCCACGTCAACATTTTATATTCTTATTACTTTTTGTCTTATTATCTCTAAAAAAAATATATAAAATATTGACGTGACTTGACCGTGACCGCACAAAATATGAAGGGATAGGAAGGGCACCCAAACAGGCGGGTAGAAAATCTGCTTCCCTCATATAAAGGGTCACTACTCGGTTCTTTTGTCTATATTAATTGAGACAAGTGGGCTTTATTATTCAAAGAAATAACATATAGGCTGTTTGAGTCCGATATTTGTCTAATATTTGTTTATGTGTGTAAGACGTTTGTGCAAGCTAAGCTTAATTAAAATAACATATATATATATATATATATATATATATAGTTGGAAAATAAATTCACTGTTGGCACAGTTTAGTAAAGATAGATTAACAATGACCACATTAGTAGCTAAATCTAACAAAATTCATTATTTGATAAAAAAAAAATAAATAAATAAACAATTAACACTTAAATAAATCAGATTGAGCAACAAATATACTCATCATTTAAATGTTTGATAATAACATGCACACAGCTCATTTTCATGCTACATAAAATATCAAAATAAATTATTGTGCGGTACTCAAAAAGTATTAGTGTGATATTTTATAGAAGCTTATGCGAGTAATGAAGCAAAAACAATGTGTATTTAGTTGCGAGTAATGTTAAGAAGACTAAAATTTTAAATTAAATTTTGTAAATCAAATGGTTTGATAGTTGATGATTAAATTATTACTCGGTATCTATTAACATACTTATTTTATATTGATGATACATTATTTAATTTACAAATTTAATTTACTTAGTATTACTCTTCGATCACCGAGCTACTTATCACTCGCTCTCAAACTACAAACGGTCAGTCTTTTTGCCGTTGAGTGATACAAAAACCATGTGCGTTTCCAGTTGATTCGCTTAAACTTGCATGGTACGGATTGGAAAAATTTTGGACTCGAGAACCTCGGGACAGAAGTGGAAAATGGTATTCTCGTAATATAGTGGGCGGAGAAGGGTCTTCTTGTAAGCACGGTTTTGCCTGGAGGCTGCCACGCGGCCACGCCTCACGTTCGTGGACCTTCCCCCATACGGTACCTTCACTCATTATTATATTTTTGTTTAAAGCCTTCAACCAACGTTTTTCAAACTCCAAAATTTGAAATTATAAAAATGCGATGACATGGAAATCAGCGTCTTCTTCGTTCCAACGAACGAAAGATGTGGTTCTAAATGTGGGAAAAGATGCTCGCCGGATCATATTTCTAGAGATTCTAAAGATTTTGTGATCCTGATTGTTCATCATACATTTTACGACCAGCTTTCTTTAAATACTATTTATATTTAATTTTTAATTTTTAATTTTAAAATAATTTTTGATATCACGATGTACGATAAACGGTTCAGATCACGGAATCTCTAAGATCTTCAGGTAAAAGATTCGGTGGGAATCCTTTTCCCTAAATGTGAAGCCTCCAAAACCCTAATTATAATTTTTCAAGAAAAACAAATTAAATACACAATTAGGCTTGGATTTTCTTAATGCTTGCAAGTCTTGACTCTTGTATATATAAATAATTCAAATTTAATTAATTTGGAACACAAAAATAACCCTAGACAGGGCTGAAACTAGCCAATTAAACATATGCAGCAGCAAAAAAAAAAAGTGATTAAATCAAACTAATTAAGAAAAAACAAAAGCAAGTATACTCGTCAAGATAATGCTTTAATTTTTATCGAACCCAGTTGATGAACCTATATGATTAGGAATATTTATATAAGAATACCTAATTATGGGAGTTGCATAAAATATTCACAACTTGCATTCTTCATGAAATAATATGAGAATATATATAGGTACATGGTATTGGTAGTTTAAAAAATCCATTATGCATGGCTTTTAAGCGCATTTTTATTTTTAATTATTTAAAGTTTGGAATGCACACTAATTTTTTTTTAAATTCTCAATAACATATATATCCCTATGTAAATGTCGTCTATACATAACTTTTCAAACTTCTCAATGAATAATCATTTCAAGCTTAATCAACTACCTTTATGTGAGAATATGTGAATGCTAAAAATACGTCATGTTACAAATCTACTTATGTTATCACACTTAATATTTTTGTAGAATATAATTCTATTATATCCTCATATATACTAGGATAATACGTAGATCCTGAACGTTCAAAGTTCAGTATATTGATTGTTCTATGTGGCCCAACTAGATAATTAATTAACGACACTTATTCATCATTTAACTCTCTAACCAAATGTCTTATTCTCTCCCCCATCAACCACTTGCACCACCGTCCACTCCCACCAGCCAAACGTCCTTCATTGGAGTTCTTCTCAAACCTTGAATCGGAACATTCATACCTAATTAATTACAAATTATCCGTTGACAACATCCACGTCTCTTCCTCTTGTCTCTCTCTTCCGTCGACCCCGTCCTCAATCTACCCTCTTTTTGGTGACGCAACCATGGCAACAAGGAGAGGAAGGTGGCGCGAGTTGTGGCCAGTGACAGTGAGTGGGTAGGTGCAAAGGTCCTTCCATGGCGGAGGAATTTTGTTCTACATAAATAATAACATGTGCTTCGATAACTTTTCCAAACTAGTACATAATTCGAATGGTAATGAACATCATATACTCCAATGAAATCTTAGACAAAATTTTTGTGGCGCTCCAAATAGGGTAATGCTAGGCAGACCAAAAGTTTAAACTAAATTTATAAAATAAATGATGTGTCCACAATATAAAATAAATACGTGAATCAACATTTAAGTAATGATTCAATTATTTAGTGTCCACAATATAAAATAAATACGTGAATTAACACTTAAGTAATGATTCAATTATCAACAATCACATTATTTAATTTACAAATTTAATTTAAATTTTTTGATCTCCTTAACGTTATCCCTCCAAATATCATATAGCAGAGTTGACAGTTTTACTCCATTTGTGTAAATGATTATAATCAGGGGGGACCAATCATTACATCACGTCAAGATTCAAAATTTGGATTTTGAGTCGTAAGATTAGGATGTGCCAATGACTATGGCCTTCTTTACCCTACCATGTGAATGTGATGATATGCATGCGTACGTACCTACGTGTAACGCGTTTTAAGACAATTGCCATAACTGTTTTTTTTTTTTAATTTTTTTTTTAAAACTATTCTGTTTGTCTAAAAATGTTCATGGTCATTGACAGTACTAGTAGTAGCCAATGCCATATAGAAAAATATCGGCAAATATTCTTTCCTCCTTTTGCAAGCTGCTGTTTATATCTGTTCATTATTATTATTTTTTGGTTTATTTAAATTTAATTTAAGATTAAAAAATAAACAACGTTGTGTAAGTTACATACGGAGATAACATAATTGACGAGATTCATTTTAGCTGATAGAAATCATATGCAAGGATTAACATACTAGAATTAATGTGCCATTTAAGATAATCCCACTCAGCTAGCTAACTCTTGCCTTCACTAATAATATAAGAATTGTGTTACCATTCGTCGCATAACTCTCCAGGAGAAATTCTTAAATACAACACATAATTATTCAATCCACAAAAAAAGCACCCAAACTCTAACTTGTTTTGGTCACTCAACGCTCATACAGTCCCGCCCCTAATATTAGTGCTTTATGGGTGCGTTTGGTACGTGGGACGGGACGGGACGGAACGGGACGAGGCGTTCCGTCCCGCGTTTGGTGCGCCAAAAATGGGTGGAACGGGCTGTTCCACGGAACAGATTTTGGGTGTTTTTGCGTTCCACCTCCTCCCCTGGAACGGGTTTGTTCCACATCTGTGGAACACAATGTTTTACCATTTTAAGACAAATATACCCCATGTCTTTTTCAAAAATTACACCTTCGTTCCGTCCCGTCCCGTCCCGTCCCGTCTGCGTACCAAACGCACCCTATATGAACGTCGGAAGTCGGAACACACAAGACTTCCTCCCTCGCCCCTTATATCTAGTGCTTTATATGAACGTCGGAATACACACAAGACTTTCTCCTTATATAATAATT